ACATCTCCAAGCGCCTGGGGTCGGACGGGACCAACAACTTTATCGCGGCCGAGCACGGCCGTAGTCCGCTGGGCGACCACCACCACTCGCCGCTGGAAGAGTTTGACGAGCGGTTCGTGTGGAACGCGTCCCTGCTCGCCCCCTTCCTCGCGTTCCGGCGCGGACTGGTCCCCTCGGTCCGCGACGAGCTGGACGCGCACGCCCTCCTCCTCCCGGTCATCCAAGGTTATGTCGGCTCGACGCCGCTCGCAATGGGGTCGTGGACAGACGGCCAGCCCGACCCGGGCGCGCTGGCGCTCATCTCGCCTGAGCTGTAAACGCGCCGCGCGCGGTTCCGACGCGCGGGATAGACGACGACGGCAACGTGGCCAACTTTGTCGAGACCGAGACCATCCTGACCGTCGGCGCAATGTGCGTGTCGTACACGCAGGTGCGCGGGAGTGTGCCGCTGTTCTGGCAGCAGCCGCAGCAGGGGCTCGGCACGCTCCAGCAAAAAGTGGAGCTTACGCGCCCGCCGCAGGCGACGCAGCCGGCGTTTGACAAGCACTTTATGGGCTGCTGGAGCAGTACGAGGCGGTCCACGCCATCAACCTCCTGGGCACCAAGGACGCCGAGGCGATGCTGTCGTCGGCGTATTCGACCACTTTGGCGCGCTCCGCTCGTCGCTCAAGGCTATCGCCGGCAGCGCCCCGCCCGACACGCACCCGACGGCCGACGACCTCGTGTACACCTCGTACGATTTCCACGCCGTCGTCCGTCTCGGCGGACACGATGCCGTCCGCCAGGACCTGGCGGTCATGCACGCCGTCAACCGCTCCGTCGACAAGTTTGACATCACCGCCATTGACGCGACGACGGGCGAGGTCGTCGAGTACCAGCACGGCGTGTTCCGCACCAACTGCCTCGACTGCCTCGACAGGACAAACTATGTACAGGAAGTCATGTCGACCATTTTCCCTCCGCCGCTTCCTGTCCGCACATGGAGCGTGCTGCTCAACTCGCCCACGCTGTGGTCGGCGCACCGCGAGCTGTGGGCCGACAACGGCGACCGTCTCAGCAAGACGTATGCCGGCACCGGCGCGCTCAACACGAGCGCCACGCGCACGGGCCGCAAAACGTTTGCCGGCCTGCTCAGCGACGCGACCAAGAGTGTCGGCCGCGCGTACATTAACAATTTCCAGGACAAGGGCAAGCAGACGGCCATTGACATGCTGCTGGGCCTCATGGCCGGCCAGCGGCCCGTCATTCTCTTCGACCCCGTCGGCGACTCGATCCACTCGGCCCTCGTCGCGCGCAAGAGCGAGTATTCCGTGCCCCGCAACCTGGTCATCTTCTCGGGCACGTGGAACGTCAACGGCAAGGCGCCAACGAACCCCTCGACCCGTGGCTCTTCCCGCATGGCACGCCAAAGGCCGACATTTACGCCATTGCGTTCCAGGAGATTGTCGAGTTGACGCCTCAGCAGATCGTCGTCACCGACCCGGCCAAGAAGTGAGCTAGGGCGCGTACAGACGCTTAGCTGACTGCTCCAGGCGCGCATGGGAGGGATACATCATGGACACGTTTGCCCAGAACAGCGCGCCGCAAGAGTACATTCTCATGCGCAGCGAGCAGCTCGTCGGCACGGCGCTCATGGTCGTCGTCAAGTCGGCCCTCCTCCCTGCCATCCGCAACGTAGAGTATGCAGACAAGAAGACGGGTCTCCAAGGTCTCAGCGGCAACAAGGGCGGCGTCGGCGTCCGCTTCAACTGCTTCGACTCGACCATCTGCCTCATGACCTGTCATTTGGCAGCGGGGCAGAGCAACTATGCCGACCGCAATGCGGATTACAGGACTATCGACAATGGCCTGCATTTCCTCCGCGGCAAGACTATCGACAGCCACGAGTGAGTCGGCTGGGTAGCGCTACATTAGCTGACATGCCAGTATCGTTGTGTGGGCCGCAGACTTTGTTAGTTGGTCGTCGCCGAATTCCAGCTGACCCCAGAACTACCGCATCGACCTCTCCAACGAGGAGGCGCGCGAGCTCGCGACGACGGACCAGCTGGACGCGCTCGTCTCTGCCGACCAGCTCACGTTTGCGCGGGACGAGGGCGAGGTGTTCAACGCTACTCCGAGGGCCCGCTCACCTTCCGCCCGACGTAAATATGAGTTCCAGAGTCCCTCCACACTGGCAGCAGTGGGGTCTCGCTTGTTGTTGTTGCGGTCGTCGCCGTCGTCATCGTCGTCGTCATCACCCTCGTCGTGTTCGAATGACGTCTTTGAGCGCTGCCCCTATTCTCTCCCCCTGAGCTGCCAAAGTCCCGCAACACCCTTTTTGCAGTGCTGACGCAACAGCGATAACGGAACCGACGTGTACGATTCGTCTGAAAAGCAGCGCATCCCCTCCTGGACAGGTGAGTCACCAATGAACCAATCCGCGCAGGCCGCAGAAGACGCTGACCGACGTAGACCGCGTTCTATACAAGGGTGCTGGCGTAAGTGGCACCGCGCGGTTGCGGTGTAAACCCGTGTTCTGTTGGTACTGACACTCCCCAGGTTCATCTTAGGGCCTACAGCTGTGCGGATCTGCGCACGTCCGACCATCGCCCTGTGTATGCCGTGCTGGAAGTAACCATTGCCGAGGTCGACGAGGCCCAAAAGGCGCGAATCGCAGACGAGCTCACTCGCAAGGCGCGGAGCAGGACGGGCAGTGCAAAGTTGGACGCTAGGGTCGAACAGGCCGCGCAGGGCGGCGTCAAGTCGCTCGTCAAGGAGTTTACCTCTGTTTCCTTGCACCCTACACCGACACCGTCGCCGAGGCCTGTCCCACCACTGGTCTCGAGGGACTCGAAGCCTGGCAAGCCCAAAGCGTCATCAACAGACGCGACCCTCAACGCTCTCAACTCGGCGTACGCACGTCTGGGTGTACCGCCACCATTGCCCGCTAGGAATGGCGCCGCCAGCGCTACCATCACCACCACCCCGGCGTCACCGCAACAGGCCACGCCTTATGAGACGCGCAGGAAACCACCTCCCCCACGTCCCACCGACTTTGGCAAGATTGGTCTTCCTCAGGATGCCAGTCCTGAAATCACCCCAGTCGCGACAGGCGACTTTGTCCTCGTCCCCTCGCCAAAGCGGGTAGCCGCCCCGCTCCTCCCCATGCGCCAGCAGTCAGGCTCGAGCTTCATGTCCACCCACTCGGCGCCGCCTGCGCTTCCCGCGCGCCCCAGTCTCAGCCCCACCCCGCCGCTGCCCACGGCACCGCGCCCGACGCTGCCGCCGCGCAAGCCCAGCAGGCAGGGCACGCTGGACATGGACGCGCCCCCTCCTTCGGGCCTCTGGATCCCCGCCCAGCCCGATAACGTCAAGCCCGCAGTGCCCAACCGCTTGAACAAGCCGGCGCCCGTCGGTGCCACTGCGGCGGCAACTCCATCGGCCAGTGTCCCTGCGCCTGCACCCGCGTCCGTACCTGCACCCGCTGCAGCGACGACTACCGCGCCCGCGTCGGCCAAACACCCTCCTCCTCCCTCAAGCCGAAGCCCACTAGCCCGAGCAGCAGCGTCAACGCGACGTCAGCGTCGTCGGCGGCGGTATCAGGCCTGTTACGTCGTCGTCGTCGACAACAAGCATAAACACAACGACGTCATCGGCCGCCACCACGTCGACGGCGACGTCGCCAGCCAAGCCCCAGCCAGGCCCATCGTGCCCGCCAAGCCGGCTGCGCTGTCGCCCACCAGCCCAACGGCCACGGGCACGGGTACAGGTACGGCCACATCCCCCGTGGCCAGTGCGCCAAAGCTGGCACCCAAGCCGAGCGGGCTCAAGGGCAAGACGCTCACTATGTAGGCTAGAGTCTGGTCTATCTACAATGATTGGTACTGTTACATGCACTTGCACACGTATAGAGCTATACTAGTGTCGGCTGGATGTGGCGGCTGCGGGAGGTTCGAGGTGGTGAGAGGGCTTTGCGTTCGGTGGATGGAAATGGCGGCTGTTTGGCAGCGCCGCCCTTCACGACTCACTCGCTCGCTGCCTGTGCCTCTTCCTCTCGCGGCCGCTTCATTCTTGTACATGCGCCCCGCTCAGTTGTGGCAAGTAACAGGATGTCGCGTAGTAGCCTTTGACTCATGTCCACAGGCCACACTCCTCCCGCCAACATGGATGACGCATATTTTTGGGTCCCATGAACGTCGCCTTGAGCCCGATATCAACGTCGGAATTCTGTAAACTTCCTGTTTTGTGTTGGGATTTGATGCCGTTTAGCGCCCGAGACCGATGGTCTTAAGCTGGCAGTTTGTCTTTCAGAAGAGGATGGGGATGCATAGACGTCTACAGAGCTGCTTATATGCACACAGAAGGGAGGCCCGAGCACTACAGAGAAGCATGAGGACAATGAAGAAGCAGAAAGAAGCAGCATTGGTGCGGTACCCTCGTCTCCGGTCAGCTCGGTGCCACACTGCAGTGGCGCAAGTGGTTACGTAATCTCAAAAGTTTGGCCTCCGCGACGCGGTTCATAACGGGCGTTAATTTCTAACAATCACCAAGTCGCTGCGTGTGTCGTTAACACTGCTATAAGGGTTGCACTTAATAAATCTCCCGCGCACCTGCCGGGGTTCGATTCCAACAGAGGGCAGAGCCTGTAGCGTCACTAGCCAGGCCAGAGTCATTAAACAAAAGACCGCCCGTGAGGAACTCGACTGCTAGGGTTCGACAAGAGCAAATGGGGGCCAAGGTGGGCGCATTAGCTTTTGCTAATGCTTTTGCTAATCGGGCCGCCACCCATGATGCTAGAGTTTTCTGTGCGTAACACACCCGTCGATGTTGTCTGGGGTGACCCGTCCATGCCGTGCGCGATGGGACATCAGCACGCGTTCCACTTCCACTGCATCTGATGCTAGCTCAAGCGCCGTACGGAGGTACGTTAATAACTATACTGCTGCAGCCAACCACGTTGACAGCAAAGAAAGTGTGGTCTGTCGTTGCCTCCATCCAAGTTGCTCCGATGTCCGACAAATCGACATTATTCGCTCGCGAGATGGTCAACAGACGATACCGATACGACATGATACATGCATAGCCAGTTCTCTACAGCATGTTGCGGAACCCGTATCCGCGGCGGTATCCCCAGTTTCCCCGCCGGGGGGCGCGCCGTCGTCCCCCTCTCCCTCTCCCCTTCCTCACCCGCTCTCTAGGGCGCGGCTTGCCTCGGGCTCGGCGGGACGCCACTTGAAGCGCAGCAGGTCGTCCATGTTTATGTATCGCAGGGTATCCATCGCCGTTGCCGCGAGGTCGACTCTTGGATCGTCAGAATTGAAAAGGTGGTAAACCACTCACCGGGGGACGACGCGCTCTCCGAGACGTTCACTCGCGACGAGCGCCTCTTCCACCTTTTTCTGTCAGCTTTGTTGAAACGTCGACGTACCGCTCAACACAGAGACACCACCGGCAGCCCTCCTTTAGCCCCTCGAACCCTGGGCGTGGAGACGAGAGGTCGTTGCCTGAATGTCAGATTGCAGCAAGCTTTTGGTTTTGGTTGCCGGGTCGCGTGACCGGTACGGGACTCGCGGGCAGCACAGTACCACCGCACCAGGGCATGGGTATCAGGTCGCCAGTGAGCGAGTCCCTCGCGGCCTGTCCTTTGCAGTGTTCCCAGTCCTGGAATTCCGGCATTCACCGAGTGCAGACGAGCGGAGCGAACACGGAAGCCCAGCAGCTCCACAGCAACCACATTCCGTCCACATTGGAGACTCACCCCTGGCCTTGCTAAAGTCGAGAAACTCCTTGGTCACCACACCGGCGACAAAGTGCTTGCCATCGTCGTCTTCTGAAGCCCCAGCAGTAGCCGTCGCGGTAGAACCCTGTCGGGTGGGACGCGTTCCCCCGCGCGGGTGTTGGGCTGGAGGGGGCCGTGCAGGACTGGAGTCAGTGGCTTGTTGCTACGGATCGTGTATGCGAAGCTCCACTGGGAATGTGTCTCCTCTCGCCAAGACTGACGAATGGCTGGCAGCAACCGGTCCACCGCTCGAGCGAGAGGATGCACCTAGCCAGCCTCTAGAACGCACCACTAAGCTTGGACGTCTCGATCGTCATGGTGCTAGCGGCGCGTCGGTGGGCCGACGGGAGATACGTCGGAGGGCGTTCATGGACTCTACTTCTCTCTGTTTCTGGTTCTCTCTCTGTTTTCTGTTGTGTTTCTGGATATCTGTTTCTGGTTGAGAAGAGTAACGATGGATGTGGGAATGCGAGTTGAGGGTTTGAACGATGTAGAAGCTGTGAATGGAAATCGAGACGCGTCAGGCAGAGGAATGGGACTCGGTTGTGGAGAGTGGAGGTTCAAATCACGAGACCGAAGTGGCGACGTCATATAATGAGTTTGTCCTGGGGGATCCTCGTCTCGTCTCCATTGTCCTCCACTTGTGCCGCCTGGTACGGTTCCCGACACTACACCGCCGCGCCTCAACATGGGTGGTGTTGTCTGCTCAGATCGGTATCGTAACGAGCGGGGTACCGTTTTGAGACTTTGATGATGGGTGGCCTGGTCACCGCCTACTGGACCGTGAGGACTCGCCTGTGCGTCCGCCCCTTCCCCTCACCCCAGCCGAGCACCATGTGGTCGAATTGGGCTTTGATGTGACAGCGGCCAAGCCATCAATCGAGCGGACCATCAAGGTATGTCAGGCCCTTGTAATTCCCCTGACAATCCAGTCCCAAGCATTTGACTACATTACAGTCACAAAGGCCGATGGCAGGCCCAGGCCCATCCTGATTCCTGGTTGGAGACCGTCGTAGCACGCAAGTGGCCGGATGTTCCATCCACTAACGACAGCGTTTGACAATGGCTCCATTGCCGACATCCACTTTCCTCCCCCGACAGAGGACCCCCTTACCCACGACGAGGCATACGGTTACGCGTTGAACAAGCACGGAGAACACAGGACGACAAGTGCATTAACCTCGTCCTCGCGTCGCTTTTCTCGTAGTTTCCTCTTTCCATATTGACGCTGTAGTATGCTGTTGTTTGTAGTGCCGGGACCCCAATTGCCAATTGTTTGTTATGCCCTGTGGTGCTGTGTGTGTCCTAAGAGATGCTGAACAGCGGTGTACGGTGCGACTGTTGTTACGGGGAGGGGGCAAGTGATGCAGTCAACCAGAACACCCCCTTCCATCGCCACGCATAGCGACCCCAAGGAGGCACAGGCTTACTAAATTCTTCTCACGCCTCGCTAAGCCACTACTGACAAGTACCGCACAAGTACGTAGAGTCATGACCAACGTAGAAGACCCATTCGATAACTGTGCGTGATTTCTGATCTCAACTGGCAGAGACGTCATCCCGAGATAACAATCACCTGACCGTACCTCGTGGGCACTTACGTGCTAGCGCGTCGGCGGACCTTTGTTATCGTAAACACGATTCCAGCGGAACGCGTGGATCATCATCACCACCAGCACCATCCCACGGGGCTCATGCGATGTCAAGGACACTCACCACCCATGTGATAATAACACGACCGGGTTGATTCGGCGGTGGTTGTGGCACTCACCTGCTCGCACTGCGTTTCTACTCGGATGAGCTTGAAGCATGGTATTTTGGACAGGCGGAATCCTGTTGGAACCGTAGACTTGAAGAATTCTTTCAGATTCCGAGTCGTGTCTGGAGGTATCGAGGGCACCCGTTGCACGGTTACAACCGTTCGTCACGGCTGTACCAAAATGGCCGCCGCTTGCAAGCAGAAGATGTTCACGTGCACTCTGCTTTCCTCGCCACCAGCACTCCAGTCACTGACCACTAGAATGATACTTGTGGGGCAGATTCCCGTTCTTCGCTTGTAATGTACCTCGGCTCTTAGGTTGAGATACGATTCGGGGCCTGACCTCGTCTGGTGCTCCAGTACATAACAGACACTTGCCCAAAACGGGGACTACCTCCTATCGACAGGACCAGTGGGGTAGCTTGCTGTGTCGCTAGCGTGAGACAACTATACAGGGCAGCCTGTGGAGCCAGTGATTAACACGGGAAAGTTTTAGTGTGGGTCTGCGATACACGACATGGCAGGCGCCATATGTCCCGAAAAACATGATAAAAACTCTGCCACAGACGGCGAGGAACCTCATCAACTTTCAACTCGTCAGCATGGCCCACCGCCCCCAACCACCCTTCAAGGTCTGAGAAGCCGTCAGTGATTTCGCACAGGATATTAGAATTCCAGTGACGCTTGCAAGGGATAGACAAGGTGGAAAACAACTTCCAGTTCATGTGACCATGCGTCGATGTGTTCACCGTGGAGAAGCGGCGTTCCTGCTCCATCATCTTGTTCTATTCTCGGCGATTCCCGACGGAGGTGCA